TCATCTTGTCGGCAGCCTCATCAACATGCTTGTTTGCGGCCTCGTAAGTGGCGTTCGTGCTTGCCGACGACATCGTTGGAGTGTTTGCTAGGGTCGGTGATCTGAGCAGCGTGTGGAGGATTTGGCTTGACATGGGCTCGGGAGGAGCACGGGAGTCGGGATCTAGATCCCACAACACACCAAATGTCTTTTTGTATGGTAATGCGTGTCTCAATTATATCATAAGGATCATAGTACAAGCCACGTACAGACCGACCTGACAAAATTGAAAAGACAGCAAAACGCTAAGACTTTGCACAAAGGAACAACAACCAAGAAGTAAAATTACAATCAAGACTGAAGAAACCTCTAAACTTGACACCAACGCCCGTCACAGGCCTCTGGAACCACCATAGCAGCCACCAAAGGAAAAAAATGACAGATCACCTTCACACCCGAGCTCGAAGCGGCTCTATTGCTGATATGCAGCTTTACGGACCTCCAAGGTGGCTCACCAAAAGCGAAACCATTACCGTTGAACGAATCGGACCGGGGCAATACACCGTACACGCCATCGAACTTCAGATCTGGCATCCCCACACGACTAAGACGCCGGAGGAGAAAACAACACCTGCCATCCATGAACCACGTACCCAGCACACGTTCCACCATTTTCCAAATGCCGCAGATGCAGACCACAATCTGCATCTGCTCCTGGACTACCTCCCAAATTCCGCGCCAGCGCTGGAGCAAACGCCGTCGCAACGGTGGAGCCTGAGAACACAAGTCCACCACGAGGATGTCGCCGCCGCCACGCCATTCTTGCTTGAACAGACTGATTTCCAAATCCATACCCAACCATAGGACCAATCGCCTCGCCAGAGTAGGATCTGAAGAAACTTTATTGAGCGCTGCCATCGACGCCGCCGAAGCCAAGACGATGAACAACCTAAAAATCTAAACTACGAGAGTAAAAAATGATCCACACACGTGGATCCGACGACCCTCCTCACCATTGACGACCGAGGACGCCGGAGGGCGGCGGCATGAGAGACTCCTGGCGGCAAGGTGGCCTTTTCTTTCTTCAAGCGGAGACTTGCAACAACTACTGAGTTGCAAAACGTCTACGTAATACGCTGCTCCTGAGCCCTCTGATTGAAATCAGATCTGACGGCTACGGAGGGTGCGGCCCATGCGTCGTTATCAGTCGGATGATTAGGACCATTTCCCATCAAATTTGGAGAGAATTTCAGAAAACTTGGTGATGTCCGAAAACATTTTTTTTCATTCTTTCTTGGTATGTCCAGCGGCAAAACAGACGTGTTAGTACTTAACACCAGAGCGAATCGGACTAGGTACATGTACGTACAGGTGCCGGCTATATATGACATATCTGCCAGATCCGCAGCATACGATTGTCGATCCGATCACGATCTAGAACCAACTTGCCGCGATGCACCAGACGTGGTGGTCGGACCTCCCGCCGGAACTGCTCCGAGAGGTTTCCTCCCGTCTGCACGTCCCCGCCGATTTCGTCCGGTTCCACGCCGTGTGTAAGCCATGGCGCGACTCACACGGACCATCGACAACGACGGGAACTGGTCAGTTCCTGCTGTGGCTCCTGGCGCCCAGCAAGAAGAGCGAGGACTCCCTCAGCTTCAGATGCGTCTTCTCCAACACAAGCTACGTCCCGCCGCCGCCCATATCTGATGGCAGTGGCACCGGGATGAATTGGGTGACCAGTGCCGACGGCACCGCCGTCCGCTACTTCACCGCCTTCGAACCGCACGGCCCAACATTCTACGATCCTCTCGCCGGAGGACCCCCCACCCACCTGCTTCCTGGTATCTCACCGCATGGGTTGGGGAAGAAACCCAGTGGCATCATCTACAACGACGGCGCCATCCTTGTGTACAGCAAACAGGACAGCATCGACACATTTACCGCCGAGTTCAGGGCGGCGTTCCTGCGTCCCGGTGACACCGAGTGGATGTTTATCCACAGGACTATCGAATCCCCCTCTGACCAAGAGTTCTGTGTCGCGTATCACAACGGCAAGATCCATGTGACCGTTGAGAACAGCCTCTGGCACGTTGTGAGCGTGACCGAGCAGCCCACAGCCGCAACCAACAGCGACGATGTGCTGGTTCTTAGGCCATCTTCGATGCCGCGCCAGTGCGACGGCAACTTGTACGAGCACAGCTATGTGCTCGAGTCCCGTGGGGAGCTGCTGTGGGTGTCGGTGCACATTTTGATGTGTTACCCCGACAAAGATAAGAATGGCATCGACGACCTCGTCGACGCACTCTCGATGTCCATCCACACACTTGAGAAGGTCACCAAGGAACCAGAAAAGTTGTTGTGGATGAGGAAGGATGGCCGGAGCCTAGAGGACTGCGTGTTGTTCCTAGGGTGGCCCAATAGTTTCGCCGTGGACGCGTCGCGTATGGGCATGAGTGGTGGGTTCGCCTACTTCTTGTACTACGATGACCAGGGCGGCCGCCTGCCGCATGAACGACATGGCGTGTTCAGGTACAACCTCATTGACAACACGACAGAGTTTGTCGAGTGGCTGCCCCATGGATTGGATAGCGACATGTGCATGTGGCTCCTCCCCCAGGTCATGGTTGCTCCAATCCACCATGGTCCAGCTAATACGCCAAGAAGCAATAACACTTGTGTTGGGGTGCTGATGCCCAACCTACCTCTTATTGCGAAGAGCTCTTGGCTGCAACACTTGTTTAGCATACTGCAACACTTGTTCAGCATGTTCAGTAGACTGTTTGGTAGCAAGGTGACATACTAGATGTAGACCTAGGCCTCACATGGTATTGGAATCGTCGCCATAAACGCTTCCTCGAGGTGAGCATGGTGAAACAAAGGAGTTGACGGAGTAAAGATTCTTCCACCCGTATGGGGAGATGTAGTTCGAGTGCTCGACTAATTGTCCAGATAGATTGACTGTCATAGTTATCATGCTCCAATTATTCATTAGGATTATCTTTTTTTTTCTTAATTTGTCTAATATGTAGTGAATTTGTCTGTTAGCTCTACTCGGTATATAGCTAGGTGCCTAGGTTACAAGATGAAATGTTATATCAATCGCTTGTACTAGCTAGGTTAAAAAACCACGAGGCATGTTCCCGCAGAAAGGATAAACGAGATTTGCACATCACTACACTGTATCATGTGATCAATCATTGACATGAAATTGCCCCGGATTCTAGCTCTCGAATCCTAACATTTATGTAAAGTGTATTTGCTTGATGTTCTTAAAGAGGGACATCTCATCGTTGTGTGATGCATAACAGAGTAGAGGCTGGAGAAAATCCTAAGAGAATGGTTTTTCTATTCCCGGGTGTCTCTACACCCTCCCTGAGCATCATACAAATTTTGCTGAACATGGACAAAAAACCCAATGGAATCTTGATTACCACAAAGAAACATTCAGACACATAAATCTAGCATAAGTTGTTCACCGACGTCATACTACTAAGAGAACATACAACACACAAGATCACAAGCAAGGGGGAAAGATAGTGTGCAAGGGCGTTCACCAATGCGATATTGTTGGCGACCTCCTGCCCCCCGTCCCCTCGTTGGACGTTTTTGCCTGTACCCGCCACTGGTGCTATGATCCGTTACAACGCTCTCCCCTGTCTACAAATCTGAAGCCTAGAGGAGTGGATAAGGATTAGGGAATCCTCAGGAGATTTATGACATGCCTCCGTGACACACGCAGCCCACGCGACCCAAACAAAACTGAAAAAAGGCCAACGAAACAAACGCACATGGGCGATAGCGCGTGCGCAAGGCAATCCCAACTGCTTTTCAAAACGTGAATCTTGGAGCAAAATGATCATACGGTTCAAGGTTAGATGTGCTCTAACTTATTCACATCCTGATGAGAATTAGCACATCCGTTCTATTAATACATTTATAAAATCGAGATAATCCTGGTACTCAAGAATAATCAGTACATATGATTTTCAATTTTCCAATATAGATAATTGTTCCTAGTCAATTTTTAAAAGTTTGACTTATGACATAAAGGACTACTGACCAAGCTAGCTTGATCTATCACTACACTGAAAAATACAAAGGCAAGGCGATCTAGGAGCAGCAACAGATGCAAACATTCAGTTTTATAATCATCAAAATGAAAATCAAATTTTTTGATCTATCTGCGCTGACACGGACGTTGTGGTGGCTGTCCCTCCTTAATCAAGCTAACCTCGAGATGGCATCCATCCAAAACCAGTTCATTGAGAGCAGCAAGGGCATCTTTCTCATGGGAATGTGTCGTCTCTATGGTCACACGGCCAATACCCTTTGAGGCCCTTGTCTTCTTGTAGCAAATCACCTTAGCATTGGACACTTTACCGTGCTCGCTGAAGAAGAGCCGTAGCTGAGGGTTCTTCACCGTGAGAGGAAGATTGCGCACCAGCACCCTAAAACTAGGCACACGATGTCTCTCGATGTGAATGGTGTGTCTTGGTGGACTAGAAATTCTTGGAGCTATTTGCTGTTGCTGCTTTAGTGACTCCTCACTGATTTCCTAGCGGAGCAAAATGAATGGCATATTAGCACATGTATGGTTGCATTGGCTTGATGTGACGATAAGGTCAACATAAGGATTTTGTTATTGAAAAACAAATTTGAGAAGGCGTATGGACAGTTCCGGCTTAAACTCTTGTACGTTGAGCTTGATGCGGCCATAATAACGGTAAATTTTATTATATGAGAATTCCAACTTAAGAAATCGGAACAGTTTTTATCAGTGTATATGTAGGTACCTGGGGAAGAGTAATGACAAATTCAGGGTTGAACCAGAGGCACATTTTATAGTCCCAACATCGAGGGAGCCGCTGTACAAGCTCAGTCCTGCCATTGATGAGGTTGCACCTGAACACGGCTCGCCTCCCATATGTAAAGGCATTATTATTATGGTACACGAAGTAGGCACACCCGCCGTGGCCATTGGGCACCCGCCCCGCATCCACAACAAAGCTATGGCGTGTACCGAGGAACAGCACGCGGTCGGCCAGACTATGGCCATCCCTTCTCACCCATCTCATCTTCTCCAATGGCGAGGATTGTGACAACAGAGGCTCCTCGAGTGCCTGCACTGACACCTTGACTTTGACAAGGTAGGGGTTTGTCCCTATGAGATACCTGTCATGTTCCCGGGTGTTAATAGACACCCATAGAATCTCGCCACGGGACTCAAGGATGTAGTTGTAATTGGAGGTGGATTGGCCAAACCACACCTGCACCAAGGGCGTCCTCCGGCTCTCGGCAAGCTCACCAGGGGCGATATTGCTGTTTGGTGTGACGGGGCGCCACCATTGGTCAGCCTCCATGACGGCCAGGATCTTACCATCGCCGTGGTATGTGACAGACGACAGAACAGGTTGAGGAGGTGGCAAGCCACTGTAGCGAAGCTGATGCTCGAGGGTCCTCTCGAGGATTGCCCACTCTGCGTTCCCGGGGCGAAGTAGAGCCGCCCTGAACCTGGCCGTGGGCCTGTGTCCAACTACGCAAACAGCCGTGCAGATGCTGTAGAGAAGGGTTGCGCCGTCGCCGTAGATGACTCCATGGGGATGGATCTCCTGCCCCCACAGGCCGAGGGATTGCGGCAGCGGAGGCAGGCGTGCGGCGGCTCCGGTGAGAGGGTCATGGAGGCTAGGATGGAGGCGTTCGATGGTCAGGCAACGGAGGGCGGTGCCGCTGGAGCTGATGACCCAGTACCCCGAGGCCGGCTCGGACAGCAGCGGCTGCGATCGGTAGTTGCAGCCGGAGAGGACGCATCTCATCTCGAGGCGCGTCACGTCTTCCTTGACCGCCGCCGCGAGCCAGGGCAGAAACTGGTCCGTCGCCGTCGTCGTCCGGGAGTTCCGCCATGGCTTGCAGACGGCGTGGAAGCGGACTAAGTCGACGGCGTCGTGCTGCAGGCGGCCGGCGATCTCGCGGGCCAGATCCAGCGGGAGATCAGACCAATCTGTTGCGTGCATGGCGGCGCGATCTGGGAGAACACGGTCTGAGACTCGTACTTAAACGTTATAACTTTTTTTTATCTGGTTCACCAAGTTATTTTTTTTAATCCGGTTCACCAAGTTATTTTTTTAATCCGGTCTACCACGTTAGTAATATGTATAAGCGTCATTAATTTGACCCAGGAACCGGACCTTTTATAAGACTCGTACTCAGCGTTATCATCCGTTGGTTGTTCGTGTTCCTTTATCTATTTTTTCTTTTCTTTTAGGACCATATTTTTTTCAATTTTGAGGTTGCGTTCAATCATCATGGCAAGATCTGAGTTTATATCCAGACGAATCAATCTGTCGGAATACAAAACCATGTTTTACACAGTTCATTTGCTAGACAGGGTAGAAGTTCAACGATTTACGTATTGTCAGGGGTGCCCCGAGACGTGCGTCTCTGAAAAGGCGGCTACGTTGTCTACCTCTCACCATCGGTTTCGTCGATCTGCCATGTCTCCTATAGCCTTATTGCCATGGGTGCGCGGTAGATTCAGGCCTTTGCTGAAGGAAGGGATCCGTTTTTAGGTATTTTTTTAAGTCTTTTTTACCATGTGCATCTTTAAATTCGGCAGGCTTCGTGTCCTGCTAACAAAGACGGGCGTCGGCTCCCTGAAGATGAAGTACAGTTCTTCCCACCCCGGTGGAGCGTCTAATACCATCGGAGGCGTGTGCAGGCGTGTCTTCGTCGTATCTCAAGGGATTCGGTTAGTGGTTGTCTTTGGTGGATCTGCTCGGATCCGGTCCATGGGGCCTTGGCACCACGACTTCCGACTATCTACTATTGAGAAACATAGTAGAAAAAACCCGCTCTACGGTCACCTAGTAACAATATGAAGATGCATATGAGGTTTGGATCAACAACTGTTACCTAGTCCGGAATGCAGTGAAAGTAGACGAGTCAGTGTATATCGTACTTGGAGTCCCTCGTACCGTAGATGAACGATCCCTCAAACAGAAGACCGAAAGCATGATTTCTCTACTTGGTTCACTATAGTAGAAATGGGCCATTTGTCCTGATTCTAGAGGCCCATTAGCCCCGGTTCTGGAACCGGGAATAAAGGGTCGGGACTAAAGCCCAACACCTTTAGTCCCGGTTCGTAAGCGAACCGGGACAGATGATGCTCCACGTGGCCACTGCGGTGAGCTCAGGCAGGAGGGCCTTTAGTCCCGGTTGGCAACACCAACCAGGACCAAATGGCATCCATGCGTCAGCAGCTCAGGAGCTGGG